TTGAACGAGCTGGTTCATCTTGGCCATCATGTCCTGATGAGCATGATTGAGCAACGGCTCAGTGATGGCCTTGGTGGTGGGAGGTGCATACGCCGGCCGAGCAAGCTTGATGAATGTTTCCAATGCGGGGCTGTAAGCAAATCGAAATGGAATACCCGTTAAGTAGAAAATGTCGGCGTAGGCTTTGTCCAATGTAAACTTTTCCCCAAGGGAGTTGCGATCAATCCAAGCACCTATGCGTTCGTGCCGGGGGGACAGAGCAGCTTCGTCGGCTTCCAATGGTCGGTTAACTTGGACAAATGCGGCGAGGGATGCATGCTTTTTTGGTTGAGGTGTGTTGACTACGTGCGGTGCTGCAGCACAGTGGTTCAAATGGGAAGTCCATCGTTTCTTGCTGTTAGGGAGCGCGTGGCTGCAATACTTGCATTTGATTGGTCATGTTCGGAGATTCCCCGGACATGACAATATGTTGGCCGGATAAAGTCACCGGATAATTCTCATCGTTCAGTGTTCAAACGTTCAGTAATTGTTCAGTAATTTTGCCCGAACAGGGCCTAACTGTAAGGCCCTGCTCGGGCAAAATTTACAAAAACATCCCACTATTTCGTCGAAAAGTGAGTTGTTTGTCAATTTGTTGTGATTATATTTGAATTCTGAGTACATGATAAACAAGGTTGTGACTGGTCATTCATTCAATCTCTGGGTTAGAGGTCTAATGGTACTTCAGCGATGTTTGACCACTTTATAGCGTTATGTAATTTTTAAGCAGTATACAATTGACGGTATTAAATTGTGCTTCACTGTCAAGTCGATTTCTCCAATAAACTGCCCGGTCCAAAGTTAGGCAAAAAGGACAATACTGTATGTAAGTTAGTATTATCACTTCGATAGAATACAGCGCCCAAAGCGTAAGCGGTATACAATACGGACTGGAATTGATTCCATTAAGTTTTACGGCTTCCTCAACAATGTTTACGGTGGTAACTCTGGCTTTGTCACCATATATTGGGGCGCTGCTATGGTGCGGAATGAAATGAGTTGCAAAACCTATCCGTGATATCACATATACTACTGCACTACAGTACTGTACATTGTTAGTTTTTGTGTGCCTCATGTCACGAAGCAAGAAACAGGAGGTAGGCGTGGGTGATAGGCGTGTAGCAACTTTGCGCAGAGTGTCCAAGACAAACCAAGTGTGCGGGACAGGGGAAAACCAAAAGTGACATTCAGTCGTTTACAAACTATCTAGCTTCGTTTCTATTGGCTAAAACTCAGCCAAAGGGAAACACTGAT